AAGTACCCTTTTAATACACAAGTATTGTACTAGTGAAAAATTATCGTATTTAAGACGATAATGAGGTGTTTTTTTTTTTTTTTAATCTTCAAAATAGAACGAAGTCGTATCATCCCTCATATTAATGTGTCGTGCCTCTTTCTTGTCTGCACTATAATCATTTAATTTTCAAAATAAGTTATTAACAAATACCCATTTTTTTTTTGGGTCGGAACAACAAGTACTCGTTTAATACACAAGTATTGTACTAGTGGTACATTATTGTGTCTTTTTTATAATCTATTAATATATAATAAGGATTAACATAATTCACTTTTAGAAAGTCATTCCCGCCAAAAACATTAATTACACACTAAATATGGTAATTTTAGAATCTATTTTTAAAAGAAAAATATTAATTACAATATTATAGTATCCTATTAAAATGGAATCCGGATTGTGTTTAAATATTTCGTTAGATACATTCTGTTATAGCATATTTGTTAGCGGATTTAATGGTGCTTGCAATATATTGTTAACGTATTTATAGCGATTTATTTTATACATACCAATTTATTTACACTCAAATTATTTTAATTTATCATGATCCACTTTTATGGTAGATGTTGGGTATTTTATCTTCATATCAATGTATTTTAAAAAATCAATGATATTGTCAAATCACTTTTTTTTAGATTCTTGGATCCTTTGTTGTTGTATACGTTTTCAATTAATTTAAAATTAAACATTATCATAAAATCTCAGTTTTTATGAAAATAATTTTCTCGACTAATATTTTTTATATCAATCAGATTTTATAAAATTACTTATTAAAATAAAAATTCGTTTTATCAAATCATTTTATAAAATCACGGTTTGTATAGAAATAATTTTGTTGAGTGTAATTTTTTCTATCTATCAGATTTTATAAATTATTGATTAAAAATTGAAATCACATTTTACAAATAGGCAATATATATTTTCTATTTTTATTTGCAAACAAACTTTAAATCATCAATGGTATTAGACATGTTATATTCACAATTTTAAATTTTATATTTTTTTAAAAAAAAAAAAGATATAAAAGTGCAATATAAACAACTACAACATTCTCAGTCTTTCTAATAAAAAAACATAATAAACATCGCGTGAAAAATTACTTATTAAAAATAAAATTCGTTTTATCAAATCATTTTATAAAATCACGGTTTGTATGGAAATAATTTTGTTGAGTGTAATTCTTTCTATCTATCAGATTTTATAAATTATTGATTAAAAAATGAAATCAAATTTTACAAATCGACAATATATATTTTTATTTGCAAATAAACTTTAAATCATCAATGGTATTAGACATGTTATATTCACAATTTGAAATTTTATAGTTTTTTTTTATATAAAAATAAGATATAAAAGTGCAATATAAACTACAACATTCTCATATTTCCAATAAAAAAACGTAATAAACAGCGCGTGAAAAAAATACACAATTTTGATGATACACAATTAGTATTCACGTGAAAAAAATATACATATACAATATGAATAAAAATCACCATTAGCGTTCAATGGTATTAGACATGTTATATTCACAATTTGAAATTTTATAGTTTTTTTTTTTTTTTTTTTAAAAATAAGATATAAAAGTGCAATATAAACAACTACAATATTCTCAGTCTTTCCAATAAAAAACGTAATAACAACGCATGAAAAAAATACACAATTTTGATGATACACAATTAGTATTCACGTGAAAAAGTACACAATATGAATAAAAATCACCATTAGCATTCAATGTAATTTTATTTCCATATATATTGTTAAAACGATTAGTATGCTTATAAGTATCATATCAACCCCACACAAAAAAATCACCATTGATGAACATACGATTAATTAGTGAATCCATAGTAAGTGCCAAACAAAAAATAGATCAACATTTCGGTCTTATCGAGAAAGTTGAACTAGCAAAGAGAGTTATGTTGCAACTTCGAGTGGTTCGCATATTTGAGAGTAAATTTCCTAATTCTTATCATAACATCATAGAAATTATTTTTCATAATATTGAGGTATAATATTGTTTATTGTTTCTTTTATCTTTTCACTTTCATTTCGTAATTTTTTTGTGGAGACTTCTGACAAATACTTCCAGTCATTTCAAAGGGGGAGTTGTTAGGATATTGTGAATGCAACTATTAACCTTCCACCATTTGGAGGGATTGTACTGTGTTGCTTGCGACTTTCAAAAAACATGCGTCTTCAAAACATTTCTGATTCGGACGAGCGTGACAAGGTAGCAACGTTTACTGATTGGATTGTTAGCATTGGAGATGGGCCTGTAGGAGGATCAAACGATGGTTGTACCTATATTAACATTCTAGATGTTACAAAACTGGAACCCTTCGATGGTCCAATTGCTACAATCGTGGAAAGTACCTATCCAATGTTCAAGAATACAACTGACAATTCAAGATATTTGAATGATAATACTCTATTAGAGCCTACTTTGGAGGTCGACATGTCGGAGATGAATTCTGACGAAGGTCGTATGTATTTGAGCTCTGACGTTATGTGGAAGTCCCTCTCAAATAATGACTTTTTTTTGTTTTGGACAAAATCTCCACACTTCCGAGTTCTTGAATAGCATCAAGT